GGGTTATCCGTCTTTGGCGGGGGGGTTGGGCTGGATGATCTCCAGAGGTCCCTTCCAACCCCAACTATTCTGTGAAATGAAGAGTGGAGTGCACAGATTAGCGAAGCACACCTCAAAAAACCCACTAAGTGTATTTTTCCTTCTCTCTTTCCTGTAAATCTTCCACTAAATTGCTTAGACACTTCCTGTAAAAAAGACGGATATGCATCTGTAACCAGCTCTGCTCCTCTGAGCAGTGCAGTATGTCAGGTTTAACATATAAAGTTACAAATAGTCTGTGGGCTGCATGTTCTTAGGCAGTTGTTTGTAAAAGGTTACTAAATCAGTCTTCTGTCTTGAGAAGCAAAGAGAATTTTTATCAGAGGCACACCCAAGAAACATAGCTTTCAAGGGTGGTTTTCCCCATTGCAGAAGTTTCAGGTACGACAGGAACAGCCACATTGACATGAGCATGCCAGAAAGGAAAGGGAACAGATGACTTATCTTTAGCTTATGGAGACACAAACAATCATCAGAGATTCAGCAAAACTATGATCTACAGTGCAGCACAAGTGCAACTTAATCCAAATGCATGCAGATCTTCTCTAGCAGGTTGGTGAACACCTGTACTCTCCCCCCTTTCTCTGGGTGACCTCCTACCCACCAATAAATCCAGCTATGCAATTCTTTATTCACAGAAGTAGGTCATTCCTCTAGGTGTTTCTGCAAACGGAAGAAACCTAGGCAGAGCAACAACTGTGTCTGACATATTTTTAGCAGTCCAGTGGACAGGTTGTCCAAACAGTGCTCTGCATTAATACAGTTTCTCAGTGCTGATGGCATTGAGCTGACTACCTGATAGAGGTGGAAGTTCTTTCCCAGCAGGGTTATCTTTCTTGCCACGTTGACTGGAAACAGCGAAGATCCCTGGATTCCCTGCACACAGGGACATGCATCTGGACCCCAGCTAAGTTCTTCATTCTGAAAACAAACACAGGTCTTTAGAGAAAGAGACCTCCATGGCTCTGATACATGGAATCAAAGCCTAACATGCCAACAGCCCTGCCAGAACGAAGACACGGCTGTGCTTCTTTACCAGGAAGTTACAAGAAAGTAATGCAAGAGCCCAAAGAGGTGAACAGCAGAAAGCTGTGAATATGCTGGACATCACAGCAGCTGCCACCTTCAGGCCAGCAGCATTTCTGTAAAACCTGGGAACCTCACACACATTTTTCTGCCTCAGACTGCCACTTCTCACTCCACACATTACAGCGGTCAGCTTCTACACTCTCAGAGGGCACAATCTCTCTTGTGTGCTGAAATACTAGACCAGCAATCTGTATGAACATTTCAAAGTGTTACAGCCTTAGACTGAATTCCAAAGCCCAGCAACTTACCTCCTCCCAAAACTCAGGGGCATCATACTGATAGTCCAGGTCAGGGTGAAGGATCCTGGGAAAGTCAGGGACATCCCTCTCTGAAGAATCACCATCACCCGACAGAAGAGTAGAAGCAGAGAAGGGAGATGTGTCATTCTCAGCCTGCAGCAAATCCATCCAGTCCTCTGTATCTTGGAGCTCTGTGCCTTCCTCCAGCAGCCAGTCTGGGGGAGCTGACGGTGGGAGCTCTGAAGCTGGTAGTTCAGTTCCCAGCAAGCTGGGAGAGTCATCAGAGGCAGCAGGTCCTCCCGGCACCTGGCTGGGGGTTTGGGGAGATAGGATGGCAGATGTCAGTGCCTCTGTGGTAGGAAAAGAACTCTGAGGCCACTTGAAACTGGTGACATGAGGAGAAGGTGTTACTGCTGCTGCAGACGTGTGCAGAGGGCTACCCACTAGGGTGGTGGGTGGGTCGGTGTGCCGTGGTTCCTGGGCAGTGGCTGCCCCTTCAGTGGGCAAGGATGCGTGATCCATGTTTTTGGATGGGCTGGTAAGGACAGATGCAGCAGGAGAAGTTGTCTCTGGCACAGTGACAGCAGGTTTGTCTGCTGGTGGTGGTAGAGGGGATTCTGTGATGGCTTGGAGAGAGGCTGCTTCGGTTGAGAGAGTCAAATATGTATAGCTGAGGGTTTCGGTAGGCTCAGTCATCATATCTGAGGCTGCGGAGAGCGTGATGTGGTTGGGCTCTGTGGGGGGCACAGTGCTTGGTACCACACGCATCAGGGGAGTGATGGGTTTTGTGGCCATAGTTGGGGCTGTGGTAGAGGACTTGGTGAGGGGAGCTGCTGAAGAAGGAAACACACTTGAGGTTGGGATCTGGGCCTAGAGAAAAACAACATGGTGGGGTGAGAAGAGAGAAAGAAACAAAATAGAATAAAATCCAAGCAGAAAAACATGCCATATTACTTTCTCTAACAGCGTTCACAAGAAGCTACTTCACCCTCTGGGTTCCAATGAGAGTTACATCTCATACCACCTTGTCTTGGGACAGAACGAGGGAATGTTCACAGTGTGCAAGATCCAGCAACATTTCTTCTTCCCACAAATGCCTGCACCTGCCTCAGCTCAGAGACAGGTCTGCCTGCCTTCATCCCCCACAAAACTGTAACGGCACCTGTAGGAGCCACAAACTGGGCTTGTGTTCCACCTCCTCACTCGCAGCCTCCCTGCTAGTTTGCTCATGTCCCTTGCTTTGAAAACACAGACTGGATAATCCCAGGAGAAGGGTGACCTGCTTCATCTGATGGCACTTCCCCAGAAACCTAGCAAGGCCTTGTAACATCAGGGATACAGAGCCTTGTGTCGCCCCAAGGGGAGGCTTTGCTCCAACAGCTCACCTCCTTCCTTGATGTGACTGACAGCTGCTATTTTACCTGAGAAGAGATCTGACTGACTGCAACTTGCTGAGGCTGTTATAGCACATAGGACTAGGACTGAGTAGGGGACGCACCTTTTCATTGTAGATAATGGTTCCTTCCTCACAGGCTGCTTTGTGGGTGCAGAGATGCTGCTGAATGCACCAGTTACATCCCCAGAGACTGCTCACACACTTTTGGCACCTGGAACAATGGTAGAAAAGCAGCAGCTAAGACGACTCAGGAAGGGACAGCCACCCTCCCTATAACTACAGACAAGAAAAAGCAGGTGCTCACGGTGCCGATTTCCACAGCAGGGCCACTGCAGCACAGTCATAGAAAGAGAAGTCCACAGAAGCAATGAAGATGTCATGGAAACGCACTACGAGCTTTATGGTGACATGATCTGAAAATGAAAATAAAAGTTTCTTAGAAATGGAGCCACTATAAGTCTGCCATACTGTTAAGAGACACAGCATGCTTTAGGAAAGGCACTGTCTAACAGAGAGACAGATTCCCTTCCATGCTTCTAGCATCTCAATCACTGGATTATTCTATGGACACTAAAACCAGGTTGGACAAGTTTGTCAGGAGTAGTTTATGACAGCTCTTGCCAACCAATGGGAAGGAAGACTAGTCTGAAGATCCCTCCATCTTCATCTGCTATAATTCCACTGTCATCTCTCTATTAGGGGAATATGTAACATTCCAGGCTCAAAGCTGATTGTCTTCCTATGTCATCCAAAGGAAAACCCAACCCTTAGAACTGACGCGTCCTTCACTTACTGCCTTCACCTTGAGAGCTTTGTTCTATGTCCAGACTAAGAAGTGAGTCAGTGAAGAGGTTTAAGACTTATAATCTCACTTGCAATGACTGAAGGCTTATCTGCTTTAAATCCAGGTCTCACGTCAACTACAAGCCTCAGGATAGCCCAGTTCTCTTTGGGAAGAGACCAACACTGTTTTCTGATAGACCAAATAGCTGCAGAGATGGTCAAGACTTACTGCAGCTGATAGCATGAGGCTGAAGAAGATATTTTGCATATGACAGTACTAAAACAGCTAATTCATCTTGTTCCAGACAAATGCCCTGAACCCTAGAGTTGGATATTAGCTCTCCAAATAATGGGAACATACTGCATGGTCTGCTCAACTCCAGGAACTGCCATTTCTCCAAGACAGTTTGCTATAAAAATAAATAACAAGAAGCCTGTCCATCATTCCTCTCTCAGAATTCAGACCTCCTCTTGCAAGCAAGCTCTATTCACAACAAAACAATTAACATGTCTGATGAAGGATCAGTAGGCCTAAGCTGGGTTCCTGATAGGATGACAAGTGAAGCAGTATGCTAGCAAAACAGCTGATGACGAGGTGTGTATGAAAACCCAGGATTAGGAGAAAATAAGGGTATCATGCATCTGGAGGCAGGAGTCACTGCAGTACTGTCAACTCCCATCACTGTCATAGAGGTGATTGCATTTGGCAGAGGTGGAAGAGCTAACACCTCCCAGGATTTCAGGGTTATGACACCATATTTATAAATATTCCTTTCTCCAAAAAGGCCACTATTTCCCAGGACTGCCAATAATGCTGTTCAACAGTACAGATGATGAGGTCGAGCACTTGCAAATTGAGAGCAAGAGTTTCTGCTATCAACTTGGAGCTCAACAGCTTAAAGTGACAGATGAGCTGGTATGCAACCTTTAAAACAAAGCTGAAAAAAGGCAAATTATTTTAGCGAGCTGGGGAAGGTATTATAAGTAGGAATAGGAAAGTGCCAGTGTCTAAGGTCGTGATGAGACCTCATAGAAAACAGTGTATGGTTCTGGTTACCAGCTTCAAATTCAGCTTAGCAGAGCACAGAAGCCTTGCAAAGAAGGGCTAGCTATGCAGTGAAGGAGAGAGGAAGTCTGAATAACTAAAGAATGTGAAGAAAAAGTTTATACAGTTAACATAGCAAAACTCTATGCTAAGAATGCCTGGCCATAGTTCATTGAGTGGGAGAAGAGCTGTGGAAGCAAAAGGACAACACAAATAGATTAAATGGACACAAATCATCCATGAGCAAGTTTGGGTTAGAAAATGGAAGCAACTTGTTCAGCCTCAGAGGTGCAATATGAAAGTAACATAGGTAAAGCATCTCTGGAGTCTTGAAATAAAAGCAAGACTGACTTACAAAGGAATCAGTAAGAATATCTGAAGCCTGGAATAATGAGAACTAGACTGTGCCTTTATCTACACTGATTTTTCACAACTGTGCTTAAATTCAGGCCCACATTTGCAGAACTAAGTAGGAAAGCCAATCCTGCACACTCTGCCTGTAGCAGCAGTGCATGAAGCCCTTTCCCTCTGTGCCTAACCACCCTGAATGGAGACCTGGTCAGTTTGTTCCAGAGTAAAACAGTGTGAAAGCCAGATATAATAATATTGTAAATAATACTGAAAATGAAGGAGTGTGTTAGCTGGGTTCTGCTGTCACTTTATGTCCATGGAGATTGCTTCAGACCTATTAGCCAGCTGCATTCTTGCACAGAGAATCTGTTTAGCCATTTAGGTGAATCATGTGGAACTCTTCCCAATCGGCACCTGCCTTTTACTTCAGATGAACAAGCTCTTTGAAGAGATCAGCTCATCAGAGCCCACGCTGACAGGCTGGGTAAAATCCAATGCAAAGAGCATAAACTGAGAACTTTCCAGGTTTTTTAGAGTGGCCAATTAGCAATAGTCAGTCAATTATCATTTGTGGTAATAGAAGGCTGACTATGTATTTTCTGAGGTTATGTCGCATTGCAGATTCATTTCTAAGGACTGTGGGTCTCTTCTTGCCTTTCCTTACGTGTACTTCGGTCTCCCACTACTATGTGAATTTTGAGAAGGTTTGCATTTTGTTTGATTTAAATAATAAAGCAGTATTTAAGAGAATTCTCCCTCTAGATTTATGACAAAGCTGCCAAACCAGTCACCACTCTAGACTGCATTTCAGATCATATTCAGATTTGCATACAACCCTTCAAGCAGGATCTCCTTTCCAACTACCACAATTTGGCATTGGAATTTGGCAACACCCCAAAATAGCACAGGATGTGTGTGACACACAAGTAGAAAGCAAACAGATATTATGACAGAATTAAATGAACACCTGCTGACAGACCACATACATTCATGGCTGTTAATCCTGGCAACCTGACGGACCTACAACGTACTTTCTCCCAACAATGTTATCAGGGCTATCATGCTCCATTTAAAGCATTTCACTGACCTGCTCCTGTTGGCAAAGCCGGTGCTTGGATGGGATCTGGAGAAGTACACATGATTCCCGATTCTGTCAGAACTGCTGGGCTTTCATAATCTTCAAAGTAACATGAGTAAAATTCTTCCTCACGCAGAGAGGGTAAATCCGAGATAGCCAGGAATATCTACCAATTCAATAATATCCAGTAAATAATTTGCCCTCTAAGACGTTCTTCTTTATTTAGTCTAATTTTCTGGTTCTATTTCTTCAAAGTAAGAGCCCCATAAATTAGTCATCTACATATACACGTATTTTCCTATAACGCCTCCTAGGACTGACTGTTCCGTTCATCATCTCTTGCCGTTCCCAAACTGAATGTGGCATCCACCAAGCAATTGGCAACTTCCCCCTTTGCCCAAGTCTCTAGCAATAGACAGGTTCTTGTCACCTCCTGACACAATGACAGACTTCAAAACACTGCAGCACCTTCTTAGCTTTTCTGTCAGCTCTCAGATGCCAGACTGAAGCCATAATTTTGGGTAGCTACTTTCAGATCTGACAGCAAGTGTCAGAAACACTGTGAAACCACAGACGTGGGCACTTTATAGATACCAAGCCAAGGAGGGACCCCACTCAAGCAGCCATCAAACACTCCAGAATATCCAGTAACTCTTAGCAGGCAAGAACATTTACTTTTATGGGAAAAAAAAAAGGACATTATCTCTTGGTACAGCCAAACTGTTAAGTCCCTTATGTGAGGCAGACAACATGAGCTTGAAGGTTCAGTGATTCAGTACCCCATTGAAAGCAACAGGAAGCCTTGCGACTCCTCAAAGTTTGCAAGGGACTTTCTACGTGCTTGAGCATCATCAGAGGATCATCACCACTCACATTTCTCTTTTCCTCTCTGCTGATATTGGCTGGAGTTAGTGACTGGACAGACAGACACTGCTGTGTAGAGTTAAAGCTCCAGAGCCACTGCTCACTCAACCTGGAACGCAAGCACTCAGAGCGACGGCTGCACCTGCAGGGAAATAGCAAGAAGCCCTGTGAGATATCTGCGCAGCCCTAACAGGACACGTTCAGCTTCCAAGCCTACACTGGCTGTCTGAAGCCTTGCTAGAGTCTTGGGGAAGCTGCTACACAAGCCATGCAAGTTTCAGCCTCCCACCACCTTCAATACTAGCATGAACTGTTGCCAAAATATAGATGAGTAGGCACTTTTGGGGCTTTAAGGGTCATGAACTAGTTCCTGTGGCTTTCTACAGGGAGACAGAGGCAGCAAGCAGACAGACACGCTGGAATAAACCACGTCTCATTAAGCAACATCAGTAGAGGAGCAAGAAATGAAAGAGTGCTAAATAAGAGAGTGACACCAGAAAGAGATAAGATAGTTTTTCTACATTTGAAATGAGGCAATCTGAGCTGCAGTTGGGCTAAAACCAGGCTGAAATCCACTGGACAGGAGTGTTGTGAGTGGTGACCAAAGACCCAAAAAGCAATGGAAAAGATATCCTTGCACGCGACTGTGACTGATGGTGGTGTTTTGGGGAGACAGAGAAATAGTAAGTTAGAATATCCCATAAAGGAACCAAAACTAAACAAAATCCAGACACACAAACACAAGGAAGAGAGTAAGTGAAGAGAATCCCTAAGCATCATCCTCCAAAATCCTTGCAGGTGAACAAGGATCTATCTTACCGTCCCTGAAGGACACACCAGCCACAGTAGGGATCTTTCAGCGCCAAACAGGATTCACAGTCCAAGTACAGGGAACATTCCAGTATGGGAACCTTTACCACCTGTCAGAGAAAGAAATCTGTGAAAACACAGCAGACAACACTGGCTCCAGGTCTACCGCTTCTTTTGCCTAACTAGCAAGTCCCATCATCTGCATGCTCACTGAAACAACTTCTTAATCTCCAATATTGCATAAAAATAAAGAAAAAAGGAACAAGTTACCAGAGCCCATCTGAACGGCCATTTCAGGTATTGGTGAAGGACATCTAAACATCAGGCTGTACAGAGGCGCTGAGGCAAGCAAAGTGTATTGCTATTAACGCTTTTTGCAAGAAGGAGACTTCAGTGATAAAACTATATTTTAACAAAATGGATCAAAGAATAGCAGACTGAATACCATTCACTCTTTTGCTTTTCTGGACTCTATCATGGGAGATCATCTCTCTTGACATGCAGGTGACTGAAGCTGGAGACAGCAGCTCCAGCTGAGGCCTCTGAATGCATCCGCACTATTGCCCACCTCTATCTGGCAGAACTATCATTTTGACTGAAAGTAGACCAAGAAGCTTTGATCAATGTGGAACAAAACCCTTCTGCCATCTGGGGGTAAATTTTACTTGCAAAATACTTCTGCTTTACTTACTATCTTTGCTGATTTCAGCCTCTTGCCCCCTCTTTAATCCGCTACTACCCTTCAGCTACTACACTGTCAGTTACTTTACCAACTTCTAATCCCCGACCCTATTACTTTTGCTAAGCACATGATATAATTTGCATCTTTTTTAATTGACAGAAAAATTACTGTTAAGGATATATTTCAGATTTCCCTAATCTTCTTCCACTCACAGATTCCAACTCCTCCTTTGAAGTGTTACAAAAATTCTGAGTATCTCAAAGTGCATTGGGGGGGTGAAGGGAAGCAGTGGTTTTCGAGCATGCTCTCATTTTTTGTTTGTTCCTTCCTTCAGGGTAACTCAAGGGCTGCTTTTTCCTTTGCTAGGAGGATCCTTGTCTTTCCAGCTCAGGGAGCTGATATGAGTGGTGTTGTACAAATCCTTTCAAATAAAGCATCCATAGCTGGATTTCCTCCACAGCAGACGCCAATATCCTAAGAGCCTGAGGCATCACAATGTGTCTTCTCCTCCAACTGCCATTGGGCACAGACAGAATTAAAGAAAGCAGTAGAAGAGGGAAAGGTGCCTCACATGGTTCCTTATACAGCTTGATTTCATCTGCAAGACTTATTATATACCTGGTCAGAGTGCACCTCTGCTATCTGAAATGTGCTATTTCCCACTCATTTCTGCTTTTTTATAGGTTACATGCCTACAGAAGAACAGCTTAATCTCTTAACTGATTAAAAACAGGAGAAGTGCCACAGTTTTAATTACACAAAAACTCCCTTTTCTCTTTTTAATCTTTTGCAAAACCAAAACAGGTCACATTACTTGTGAACCCAGAATGATCGCATTCTTCTGCTCAGAGGGAGATGCAAACTGTTGTCCAAATGGTTCCTGCTCAACACAGAGGAACCCAGGAATTTGCAGTCCCTTGTCTTCATCCCAACAGGGCAGCCTTTTATAGCCTGCAGTTCACATTCCTCCATCACTGCTGATACAGCCCGACTGACTTAGGGAAATGCACATGCAAACAGGCCACGGTTTAGGGTAACTAGACTTCCTGCAGCTTTTGCAGAAGGCCAGTTCCCATCCCTGTAAGCCAGACTGGCAGGCAGCTGCTGCCCAGCACAGGCTTAGCTAAACACACTGTTTCTCTGCCTCCCCCACTCCTGTCAGTAGTTTGTCGGGACCTCAAATGCTTTCAGCTCTTCTGTTGAAGGGTTTTTATCGCTCTTACCATTGACTGGGTCATGACAAAGAGGTGCTCCTGCAACTGGTCAAACAGCAGGTCTCCACTCACCATGCTATTTAACTGGATAGCTAAAGAAGCGTATACGTGTGCATCTCCCATTGCTCCTAAGTACACCTGCAAGAGAATCACAGTTGCATGCAGGCAAAATATCACAGCAGGAGTTGGGGGCACCCATCCTACATAAGGAACAAGTTGGAACCACTGCTCTGTGCGAGGATTTCAACCTCCCACCAAAATCTCAATGCAGTGACTTCAGCCACACAAAGCACGTTCCTAGCAATACCTGCAGAAGCCACGTAGGATGCACCAGCCCTGACGCTGGCTCAGGGCAGATACAAACAAAGGCAACGTGGTCACTGTTTGGGGCGTTCACATTCTCAACAGTCAGTACAGTGTGAGAATAGACCATCTGATAGTAATGATCTTTAGTAGGAACCTGACTTCAAGGGACAAGAGAAATTGCCTTTCCTCCCCTTCCACCTGAGCATTTCTGATTAGTTTTATCCTCTGCTTTGTGTTGCATCCAGATGGTACCTTGTGCAGTCTCCCTCTGCTGTCTCCCAGAAAAGCAATGGTGTGGCCATCTTCCACATGCACTGCCACTGCTGTCAGACGAGCTGCTGTTTTCTCCAGGAGGGGGGCCGCTTCCAAGGGTATCCGGCTGGCCATAGGGCTGGGAGTGTGGTCAGAGCCACAGGGGTATGCATACAGGGTGTCCTTTTTCGGGGAGTGGGAAGAACAGGGAAATCAGTGGGAAAAAAAAGGATACAAGGAACATTCGCAACTTTAACACTTCCCACCATCCCCTTCCACCCAAATTCCTTAAACAGGTGCCCCAGCAATGAATTCAGCTTTGAACCCCTCTAAGATTTTTTTACTGAGAGTCAAAAATACAGCTTTTAATAATTAGTTTAGCTATGTTGGCTGTTTGTACCCTCACAGAATCTTGCAAACATTTCAGCAAGTCCATTCAGCACCAGTAATGAAATGCATTGAAAGTCTGCTAAACTCTGAAGTTCTCCAAAAAACATTACTGGCTATACACTGCCATGATACCACTTTGGGTGAGATTCATTGTATTTTTCACGACAAAACAAAAAGATGAGAACTCCTGCTTTCTGTGCAAAACCACCTGGTCACAAGCATCACCTCCAACAATCAGCATGGTTTTGCTGTATCACCTACAAATTCTAAGCCTGAAGTAGAATCCTAAAGCATCAGGACGTACATAAAGACAGAGTGGAGCATAACCTGCTCCAAAGAGCTTACTAACTAGACTTAGAAATTGTAAAGTGCATACAACCAGAGACCCACAAAAAGTCAATACAAGAGTCATCTCTGCACACTGCTTCAATTCTTCTGAGTCTTGTGAGATTTCTGAAAATTAACTCCACAGCACCGTGCAAAAACAAGTCATCCTTCTGTTCCAAACCTTCACTTACTGAATTCTAAAGGAGAGAGAATAAAAGCTGCCAACTTATTTACTATTTGTATGTGTAGAGAGAAGATATTCCATTATGATTCATCTTCTTCCTAAGTAACAAACTCAGTCTTGTCTAGGATAGTTCCTCTGTTGCTTATATCTTTCTCAACACCTTGTTCTGCATCCACTTTAATTTTACAGTACCCTTTTGAAGACTGAATGCAGGATTGTTCACCCAACAATTACTATTAAAAACACCATTTTCTTTAAATGATCAGTAGCTTGTCTTCAGCGTGGCTTGTGTAAACTAATGTTTTCATCATGAAATCCCTTATGGATAACACTTTCATTCTCTTCTCCCACCCCTCACTAATTACTCTTACAAAGCTGCGTACGGAGCAGAGGCATTAACATCGCAGTTCACACCGACTCCAGCTCCCTCTTTTGCCTTGGGCAATGTGGTTGAATTTCGACTCCTTGTGAGCAGGGTTATATATTCCTTCTGTCTGACGTCCGTGGCTTTGCCTTTGGCAGCGCTGAGCTGCACGGTACCATCCAGCACCAGGCAATGGAGCCGCTCCCACAGAGGTCAGGGATAACGGCACAACGTGGCATTCTTGAGGCATCTGCTTATTGCCTCTTGCCAACCTCATGGAAAACCTGACCCTTTTGTTCCCTCTCCTCCCATTTCTCTGGGTGTGGTGGGTTTTTTTTTTGGTTGTTGGTGTTTTTGTTTTGTTTTTTAATGCTTGACTGCTTCCTGGAGAAACTAAACATGATCAGAAGCTTTTGACAAAGTCTATGGAAATCCCACGGTAAAATATATTTAACCCCCTGACCTCTATTCACTTCTCAAATGTATTGCTGTCTTAGCATGGAAGCAAGGCTTGACACAGCGGTTCCACATGAGAAACCATGCCAGTTAGACTAGCACTATTTTCATTCTGATGCTTTGTTTTCCTTTCAAATACTAATTCAACTGATTTTCTGCACGCTAGGCATAAGGCTCTGACTTAAAGCCTCAGAGGGGGTTACAACGCTTAATCTTTGTTAGTTTTTACCATCCTCGAAGCTATCATTCATTTTGAGTGACAGATATATTTTTCTTATCAGCTCTGTTGTTGGACTCTTAAGCTTCTTCCAACCCCCTTCTTGTAACTTAAAGATTTCTATTTCTCCAGTTGTCCAGTTCCTATAAGATTTATTAGGAAGTGGGCCACAGCCAAATTTCCATAATCAAAAGCATCAAGTGTTTATTTTGAATGGGATCCTAGCTATCTTTTGCAACCTTTGTGTTAATTCAGATAAATGCTGGAGCCTAATGACCTCACTATTGAGGCTGATTTTTCAAAGTTTGCTTAAAAAAAACCCCACACATACAGGTCGGAAATAGTTGTACCCCAGTTGTGCCTCAGCACTGCTGTTGCCTATACGTGATGCCAAGGGCAAGTCACTTCACATGCAGTGTTTATCTACCATAAACCAAGGTGACCTGAGCAGTGCACAGCCTGCCCATGGCCTCCCAGGGACTGTCTCCAGCGCAGTTAATCACAGTCACAAGCTGAAACTTGTTCCATTCTACAGGATTAAGGCTATGATAACTGTATACAGTGTTTATATAAATTTACATAGAAACTGTTCGAATTGTTTTCAGTGAATAACATCTTGGCAACGTAGCAGAACATACACTTCAGGGGTTGTGCAGTGTCCTACTGTGATGCAGCAGGTTTGGATGAAGCTGCTGCCATGAATTCTGGTGTGTGCTTCCTACGTTGCACGGGTAGGAAGCAACAATAGGACAAATCTATACCTATGCACAAAGAGGACTGAAAGCTCGGTGCAAAAGGACAAGTTACATACCTTGAAAACTACACCCACAGAAGATATGCAGCCTTCCCAAGCCTTGCAGAAACATGTTTCACACTTCCGATTATCCAGTCACTGACACCATCTACAGAGTCTCCTGCATCTCAAGACTAAACGAATCTCCAGCAAACTAAACAAATGAACTGGTTCTGAAATTCTTATAAAAACAAGCATTTTTTTTTTCCAATGGAAGAGATTGTATTGAACTGTAAAACTCAACCTTGGCCTCTCCTGATGGGCTAAAAATCAGGAGGCAGCGCTAACTAGGGAAAAAGGCATACCTTGCACACAGGCTGGTTTGGAGGCAGAAAAACGTGAAATTAGTTAGCATTATCCTTACATACAGCACAAGCCACCACCATTGAAACCGAGTTAAAACTGTTCCTGCATAAAATGTTCATTGGCAGCCGCTTCCACTCAGCACTGAATGGAGCAGGCTGGAGTTGGCACAGACCCTTACGTGTTGTTAGATACAATCTTAACGACAACCGCTACCATGTACTGAATGGTGAAGGATAAAGTTTGTTAGGACATTTACATATCATTGGACACACTTGTTAATAAGATGCCATACTTTAGTCAGCCCACCAGTGCCAAACCGTGCAGCTGGGACCCTGGGATCATGTGCCAGGAATCACATAGCAGAGACTGGCCTTTTTCTCCCACCCTGTGCACCCACTTCTCCACTGGATCAAATGGTACAGGGGGACTCTACATCACGTTGAATGAAGGATTTTTCTAAACGGCTCACACCGGTTTGACATTTAACTCCCTCAAGTTGCCCTGAAAATCACTTGTGACAATTCCTTCCATGCAGCCCTGCAGAGGACACATAGGGCATGGCTAAGAAATACAGTGAAACCAGGACATCAAGCTGGGCAGTCTCTTGCTTCCCAACCCTTACATACTCCTCCTGACCTTACATTCATCTTGCTCCTAGTCTGCTCTTTACCCTTCCCTTCTCCCACAATTATTCTACAGTGAACTTTAACTTCTAAAAGGAAAACCATAGTTTTAAGACTGGTTTTGGACCACACATCCAACCCCAGAGACTTCCAAAGCTCTGTGGTACCACTTTGCTCTTTGTAGCACAGGGCTGGGAAGAGGCAATTATCTGGAGAGCCTGTTCTGTAGAAGGAAGACACAAGCCAACATGCTGTCCTGCTAAGGGCTAGCAACGCCCTTGGTGAAAACAGGCTACTCGCAACCACAGAGCCTCATGCTGGGACACTGCATCCAGCACAGCCCCAGGAGAACGCAGCTGCTCTGCGTGTGTGTCACCATCCCAGATACCACAGCACCAGCCAGCGTGGCTGACAGACTGCAAGGATTCAGGGTCACAGCCACTTTAGTTCACATTTTTATCCTGCAACATCCCATCATGCCTTTGTCGTAGAGTTTAAAGAAGGATTATCACCTCTTACAGCTCTGGAGACAAACAAGAGCCAGGTCAGGGAAAAGTCCTCCTTAGGCACAAAATTCTGCAGTCTATAGGAAATTAGGATTTTGTTGACACTTGTGTTTGCTTATATTCTTTTTTTGTTCCTGGGTGCCCTTGCAGGAAGCTGTTGTGAGGTGCACCTCACCGGAAGCAACAGGGACCCAGCACACCCCTTAAATTCCCTTCCCAACACACAGGTGCACATGCACATATTCCTCTCCTTCCCTGCAGTGCAGGCCAGGAGATGAAGATACTGATAAAGAACAACCTGAACTGCAGCTTCAGGGCTCCTGCCTGGTATTGCCATGAGACAGGCTTCAGGGCCACGTCACACCAGATCCTCTCCCCATTGCCACACACAGTCCATCTCCCTCTGGAAGGAAACCTGCCCGTGCCAGGCAGAGAGGTGCAGCAGCAACGAGACGGACTGCACTTAAACAGGACTCAATGGTTCTTGCATCATGTTGCTGCAGTAGCACAGAAACAGCCTGAGCCCAAAGACTTTTAACCCAAACAGATTTCAACATCTGTCTATGGCAAACAAGCTGACTTCAGGAACACAAAGCAACACAAGAACATGCTGCAGACTACTCTTCACTTCAACAAAGGTGCAAAGCCACTTACCGCTGGCAGCTGGACACAGTTGGAACTGACATCGTATTCAATATATGCGACTTCGGTCCCTTCTTCTGATTTTCCATCTCTCATGTAGCAAACATCCCTAGTCCAGTTGGTCAGGCGATCCACCTCCTCCATTGCATAGAGACAGAGCGCAGACTCCTCACTCAGTTTACCAGAAGAAGCCTGCCAGGCAGAGAAGGCTGCAAACAGCACTTCTCCCTCAGTGTCCAGCTGCCCCTGGGCCAGGCCTTTTCCCGGTCGGGTGACGTAGGCTGCTTGCAGGAGGCTGTATGTATTGGCTTTGCTCTGGCAGAGCAGAGGTAACTCCACATATGAGTAATAATGAGAGTCATCCAGGCAGATTCGCGAGATGTAGGTCTTGTACTCACGTGATTGAGACTTGAGGTCTCGACGGTAGAATAAGAAATAGACGCTTGAGCGATAAGTAAAGGATTTAATGAAATGGTGGTTGTACTCGGAGAGCCGGCCCACAGCCAGCTTTGCTGTTTCTTCATAGGAGAAAATGGAGTGAGAGTCTGTTGCTTGAACATCCCCTCCGTGGGCCCTGAGATTTCGGGTAGTGATGGGAGGAATCCCTCCTCCAACTCCTCTGCTGGTGTACCCTCGTCCCACAAATAGCAAGGGGACCTCATCCTTTGAGTAGGCTATGAGTCCTACAGTGGTGATATTGGGATCATTGGCAGCAACGTACTGAGTGTCACCGGGGCTCTCTGGTCGGAAGAGGACATGGTCAATGGATGCAAGGCTCCTCTTCTCACAGATTCCCTGGTGCACGCTGCCACACACGATGAGTTCCTTCTGCACTGCGTTCACTAGCAGCAGCTTGTTGTGATTGTCGGTGTGGTGTGCCTGAGGGCACTCCAGCTTTGAGACCGGGGGGAGGCAATCTTTGCTGTCCAGAACTGGTCCAGTCTGAACCATGTTCTTCATCAGCAGGTCAGATGTCAGCTGAAAGAGAAAGTTGGTGGCCCCCAAGTAGATGGTCCCAGATTCCAAGTCCATAGACAGGTGGAGGAATTTCGTAGCGTTGTGTGAGAATGTGACATACTGCAGTCCCCGTGGAATCGCTGTTCCCAAGAAACAGAGAACAGGAAGGAGGAACGTTCCCAGAGGCATGGTAAATGCTCTGCAAGAGAAGAAAAGCTGTTATAACTCCTTATAAACCAGGAGTAAAGATCAACACTCATCAAAATCTTTCAATAGGACTCTTATTATGAGAGGTAAGCAAAAAGAACATGGATAACCACAGAAGGCGGAAAGCTAGACACAAAGAGCCAACGTATGACATTTGCAGAAACACTGAGAGAAAGAGGCCTGCAGGAGTATCAGAGACTTCACACATCAAGATAACAGGCATAGCATATTTAGGAGAAACTGGAATACTGCAAGTAATGTTCTTGGGGGCTTTCCCAGAGACTGCTGGGTGGTACAGGGGAAAGCTGCTCTTCACAAGCCCAGGACTTGTACTAAACTTGCTGAATAAACACCAAAGCACAGATTCATCAACACAGGGACATAACCTAAGGAGAAAGGTCCTATCTATGCTGTGACAGAAGGCGCTTCAAGCATTGAAGTCGATCACTATTCTTGTAACATTAGGAAGAGCCATGTTTAACCAGATTCCTGCACGACTCTCCTATGATGTTATATTGGAAGTTCTCCAGGACAGGACCATATTCCCACGCAGCCAGCACATCACACACATTGTTAATGAGCAACACCACAGTAAGACAATCACTGTCGAAGACAAACACAACCTGCAGGACCGTTGTTTAAATAAACTGTAGCTGGGATCCAATTCAGAGCAGACTAATAACTCCTCTGCTCTGTATTTGATCTAGATATCATAATTAATCCTTCTCTCTCTTATAACTTATGGCTATCGAAAGTCTCTTTTGGGTCTAAGACTCTTCCACTGGTGCTTCAAAAGAAACCTTCCCACACCATCCCTACCACTGAGCAGGGACCTGGGTGCCAGGATGAGGCCTCCAGAGACTCAGTCATAGTGGCTCCCAGCAACCTCAGTGGGGCCACCGAGCCTGCCCTGGTGGGCCCCCATCTCCTTGGGCAAATGCAGCATGTCCAGGCAAGGGGGGGGACACCACCTTATCCTGCTCACTTGTTGCTGCACTCTCTGGGGTAGAAGTCTCTTGCTGGCACTCATCTCTCCACAGCACCTCTACCAGTACTGTAAAAGGCAATCTAAACATGCCCACTCTGTGGATAATGCTCCATTCCTTCCCTGTCCCATGCCCCAAAGGGCAGGCAAGGCCAGATGGGGCAGGTGTTAGATCCAGGGAACCACCAGACCTGTTCTGCTCTTCTCCAGAGAATCTTTAGATCAACACCTCTTGAAATCCACCATGACCCACCCAAGCCATGCCACAGATGGGAACAAGTGTCCTGAACAGTATGGGGAATCCCACAGCATGGTGGAAATGTGGTAGTAAGTACCTGCATCATTCAGATTAATACTTTCCCCATGGAGAAAGGGCAGCAGCTACAAATACTCATAATTTACTACGAGTACCACCTTATTTGAATTGAGAAGTAGGTGGTGGTGCAGCTGTGAATCTATTCCCTTTCCTCCCTCCCTCTTGCAGACGACATATCATAGAATCATTACAGTTGGAAGAGACCTCAAAGATCATCAAGTCCAACTGTATATCCGATGCCACCATGCCCGCTAAACCATGTCTCAAAGAAAGCTACATACAGCTACACAGATGCCAAGCTAGGCCCGAGGCTCAACAGAGCTGATGGGTACAGTATCTCCTCCAGAACTAGCCTGTAATCTGCTGTGCTCATTTTGGCAACTCAGCTCCTCAGGGGTGACATTAATTTTGTAGTTGAAGCTAAGAAAACTATCATTACTTCCCTCCTACAGCATCCCTCTTGCATCTTCCTCATAAGCTCAAAGTGCTATTAGCCCCAAAGTGCTTAGAGCACAGAGGTGGAAAAAGAAGATCTACAGCATTTCAAGAGAAGACTACCCCAGCATTTACTGCAGGACTTAACCAATTTAGGTCACAAACTTCTCATCACACAAGCTGTGTCTTACACTTGTTCTGTACAACATCCAGCACAGTGTGCAGAAAACACAGCAGCAATGGTGAGAACAGTAACTAAGACTCTAGGATCCATTTTTTAGTTCATTGCTATTGCAAAAAAAAAAAAACAAACAAACCAACCACAAACAAAAAACCAAAACCACCCCACAAAAGTCTGCTTTCCAGCTCCTTTGTCAGTAAAACTGGCATCTCTGCTCTACCAAAAGACCAGTTGAGAGGATTAGTCTACTTGTGAAATCCAGCGGATGGAAGGTATTATAAATACAACACTTTATTAAATATAGGCTTTGTGAAGCTCTGGAAAAGCTCCACTTCACATGGTTATTGTAGGTAAGTAGGCAGTACTGTCAGGACATACCCGGACGCAGGAACGTTGGCTGGCAGCTTTCCCCCAGAGCACACGGCCGCCAATTCACACCGTACCAGCATGGTGTTTAGGTTACGCGCACACTAGGGCTTTTGTTTGCCCCGATAATGGACACTGAGTGTTTTCTGCTCTCGGTGCTACTAACACGCTCTGCTTCACCCAGATTTGCAAACAGCACTGAACTAGCCTTGGAGTCTCTTTCCAGGGTGGTGAGAGAGTGCGTTGCAGCACCTGACAGAGGTCCTCATCATGCGGGAGATGGTATCTGTGAAGCATGATGAGGGGTATTTATAAAGCCAGCAAGTAGATATATGTAGACTGAAGGATGAAGCTCTAACCTGACTCTGTCACCTCAGGTTTACATCAGCAGAGCATAGCTTGCCCCAACTCCAACATGTGAGTTATTTTTATTTATTCTCACCATTTTTATTGGAGAAAACTTTAGTCAAGCAACTCCTTAACCACCCAACTGTCTTGGTACCTCTGCACTGCCATCATGGAGATGTCACGATGGCTTGTTGTGCAACTCTGTCTGGAGTCTCCTCAGTTGCAAAGCTTAAAATGCCTGCAAACAAAGCAATAGACTGATGACCATCCAACAGCAGGAGCTTGACTACGTCTTTGTGACAGAGCCACACTCCTACGGAGAAGAAAGTCTTTGATCTGGAAGCAGCTGAGGATCACAAGACATCATTACACTACACCACTTACAGGAATCTCTAATCTTCTTTCTAGCTAATGCAATCTTCCTAAGCCAGCACTTACACAGTAAAACCAGCATGTGTCTTCAGAATTCATAAATTCTGAAATACTGGCTTTCTGGCTAGAGGTCACGCCTACAAGCTGCAAGACTCTGCTTTGTCCACCACGTACTATCACTGATGACTGCTGGGGCAGAACTAACACTTGTACACACCACCAGTACTTGAATTCAAAACCAGCTCATGACACCACTCTAGCAACACAGATCTTACAAGCTCTTTGATCTGTAGTTGAATCTATCCCTAATGTTTCACTGAAAGCATTTTACCTTATTGAAGCACCTGTACTGGAAAGAGATGGAAAAGCAACTAGCCCTTCATTCCAGCAGACCATAATCAAAAGCAGATCTTGCTGTGGTCAAAGCTCTGACCTGAAGCTATTCTATCAGGTGATCCAGGTAAGAGACTACTATCTAGTCTTTTTGACTCTGGAAGAACAGAAGGTAGCTGAGAAGAGAAAAAAAACCAACCAAGCAAAAAACAACAACAAAAAAGTACAGCATGTTCTGCAAGCTAGTTCTAATTGCTCTGCGCAACACGTAAACATTGAATATATTGCTCTTTGTTGCCCTTTGCTGAAGAGACATTAGCAAATGAATTTGTATTTATTACTAGGTGAGCAAACACGCATTAGAAAATTAGAAATGAGCATAAGCACGTGGCTATCAGTAGCTAGAAGCATTCACATCCTATGTGAAAACTGAGAGAAAAAAAAAGCCAGCAGTGTCTTTTGATTCAATTTTCCAAGTTGTTTCTCAAGCGTGGGCATCACTGCCTTTTTTCGTCTTGCTCTTCAATTAAGCCCATCACAACCTCTCTGGGAGGACAGGAAGGAGGAGGATAACCTACATTTAAATCTGATGGTTTCATGACAGGCTACACTACTGAGCTCTTTATGGATTTACTGAACCGTTCTGCTTCCTGCGCTCACTGCTAGCGTACAACACAGCTGTTACAGACAGATTGCACTAAAAGTGTGTAGCCTTTAATTAATTCTGAAGGCAATTGCCAAGGCTTAAAGATTCTTTTTAAATATTCCATTTTTTGGATGAATTCCCGTTAAATAGGAAAATGCTCCAGACAATACTCTGAACATTGCCTCTAACACCCTGTAAAATATTAATATCCAAATGATACTTCGGAGTTTCATTTATTTAATCTGGATCACAACAGAAGGGCTAGAGGATTATTCAGTTCTGCCACAGAATATTTATATCACATCCACAAAACAACAACTAATAACATGGAAGCAATGGCACTGTTTTGTTACTTGGAATTTGAAATAAGACCATGTTTTCTGTAGCACTATTTTTACCTCTCTGACCTCACGTATCCCTCTCACAGACTTTACTCATTTATCAAAGAAACTTACACAGAACTTATTTGGACACATTTTAACAGCATATCAACACGTAAAGATTATTTCAATCCTCACAGATTATTTCCCTAATACCACATTCTATCCCCCAAACATGGAGAGGTCAGATAATGTCCCAACTTCTAGGCTAGATTTCATACTCAACACCAATCCCAGGAGCATTATCCTTGGAAAAAAGTAGGACCTAGAAATTTGCACCTGCAGTTTCCACTGTATCATTTGCAGAACCAACCTACAGCAAGAGCACTAAAAGATTTAAAAATTAAAAGCATAATTCTTCCAGCTGCACGACAACCCTTGTGCTCCTGCTCATGCAAATCACCCAGCAGCAGGGAGATGACCACTGCTGTGTTCTCTGCACAAAAGCCCTGAATCACAGCCCCCCTTCTAAGTTTCATGTGCTCAACAGAGACTTGCTGTTTTCTGCTGTCAAAGATGACATTCCCATTAAATAAATAAATCTTTTTTTTGAGTCTTATTTACTATTACCAGGCCAGTTCCCTGCTCTGCTGTTTAAGAACATTTGCAGCAAGCAGGTC